ACAATCTTTATTTTTTTTGCAGAAACTTCCTAATATCCTCCAACTCTTTGCTGTGGCTTGCTTTTAATTCTTCTTACCCCATGGAGTGTCTGTCTACCACTGCATTGGAGCTATACAAGTGGGTATATTCACTTTTTTTTATTTCAGGAGAAAACTTAGTTCTAAAAAACATTTAAGTGAAATTGAATATTGCAGGGTTCATTCTGGAAAGGTGAAGTTGTGATTGGGTACAAAAGGTGCAGTTAAGAGACGGGTACCTTAAGTGTCCTTTCTATATAGCTGCATGTCCTGGTTTCAGCAGGGATAGAGTTAATTTCCTTCCTAGTAGCTGGTACAGTGCTGTGTTTTGGATTTAGGGTGAGAACAATGTTGATAACACATTGATGTTTTCAGTTGTTGCTAGGTAGTGTTTATACTAGTCAAGGACTTCCCCACTTCCCATGCTCTACCGACTGAGAAGGCTGGAGGGACACAAGAAGCTGGGAGGGGGCACAGCCAGGCCAGCTGACCCAAACTGGCCAATGGGATATCCCATACCATGTGACATTCCATACCATGTGACATCATGCTCAGTATAAAAGCTGGGGGAAGAAGAAGGAAGGGGGGGACGTTTGGAGTGATGGTGTTTGTCTTCCCAAGTAACCGTTACGCGTGAGGGAGCCCTGCTTTCCTGGAGATGGCTGAACATCTGCCTGCCCATGGGAAGCAGTGAATGAATTCCTTTGTTTTGCTTTGCTTGCGTGCGTGACTGTTGCTCTACCTATTAAACTGTTTTTATCTCAACCCACGAGTTTTCTCACTTTTACCCTTCCGATTCTCTCCCCCATCCCACTGGGGGGTGTGTGTGTGTGTGAGCGAGCGGCTGCGTGGTGCTCAGTTGCCAACTGGGGTTAAACCACGACACTGCAGTATCTTACGGCTTGGTCTAATATACCCATTACAATTACAATACTTACTCTCACCTCACCTCAAATATTTGCACATGCTTGGTCTGCCATTCTCTCTAGGGTCAGAAGGAGGAGCTCTACAGCTGTTGCTAAAATGCTAAATACTAATTCCCCTAAATACTAGAGGAATTAGCTAGTGGATTCATCCCTGTTTGGCACTGCTCTGCTCTTCCATGCCTAACAGACTGATTAGTCACCCACTGAATGTTGGTATTGTCAAATCTTACCTCTTCTACTCTTGCTGGTAATGTAAATCTGGAGAAAATGGAGATCTTCAGCTGTTTTCTGGTGGGTCCCAAAAATACTCCTGTCAGGCTGCTTGTGATCAGTGATATTGTTCAAGACCCCTAGCAGCTACCTGGATATGCAGCAGCACTTTGCTGGACCTTTTTCCTCTCTGTTTTTGTTACTGAATTCATAGCAAATTTACACACCCCCTCCATTGTTTTTCTGTTCATATGTCCGCACACTTACTTGAAGGGACACCACTAAACTCAACAGTACTTGACTCATTCTCCTAAAGACAACTGGGATGGGTACAATCACTTCCAAGGCTGATTAGAGCTATGTTGCCATGTTTCTACTTGATGTACCATAAATGTAGCTTTTGAATAGTTTAATGGCATAAAGTAGTTGATGTTGCACTAAAATTGTGCAACAAAGACGAGCAATGATAAGACAAAGAAAGAAGGGAAGGTATACCACGGTATGCTTTGGTTCAGCCTGTGAAGCTAGATTTTGATGTTCATGACGTATTCTGGACGATATTAGCTGTACCAGATTCTCCAGCCCTGCCCCAGTCTCGATGCCTCTAGCACTGGGTCCCATGCTAAGAGCTGCAACTCTCCTATGCTTCCCCAGCATCTGATCCCCTCTGGCTAAGACAGTTGTTTATACTGGTTATGCTAAGGTCTAGGCCTGGAGGTTCGAGAACTTCCACAGAAGTCATAATCTGAGAATTATACAGGTCTAATGTAATTACGTAAAAGCAATTCTAATTGCTTTCAGTGTGAACTGAGAATGTAATGTTTCATTCTCTGACATAGCTAAATGCATGCCCTTAAACAACTTGTACAGTTTATTTCTTGCCATTTATTACCACTACTTGAACTGTCACGAAGATCTGATTACGTTCTATAACAACGTTGCTCAACAGTGTATATTTTTTCCTATTAGGAATGATTTGCCAAGTTTCAGGGACTTCTGAGTGCTGTTGCAATTCAAAAACTAGAGGATTGCAGAAACTGGTGATGCTTGTTTGGCTTCACGTAAGTTGGCTTCATGTACAATTCATGTTGTACCATCACCCAATCATCCAATTGTCATCCAATTTTGGTTGCTGGCATTTTTTTTGATGTCTGTGATTTTGCTACCAAGGAAAATATCAGTAAAGCCCATTTACAGTCACATAGGGCAGGAACCCCTTTGCTCACTGCAGGGTGCTCCAGAACCCTTTAGGGGCACCAAGAGTAGACGTGAGCATGGGCTGATCCAGCAGCATCAGATTGGGTGAAGTCTTTGCACAGAGGAGTTACAAGATCTTCCATGTCTGTTCTCTTCGTACTACGTTTTATACTGTTTGTGCTTGGAACAAGGGAAAATTGCTATCATTTAAGTGTCAGACTTTACCTTATGCAGTAAGGTGTCTCTGTACATTTTACAATTTTTGTTTGGACTGGGCTTTTGTTTTGGGGTGGTTTTTTTTCTTTGCATATTTCCAGCACTGCACTGGTTAGCTAGGTTTTTAAATTTAGCACGCAAGGTCGTGAAAACGAGATGCAGTGTATGCAGAAAATATGCATTAGGAGGTTTCTTGCTCTGTTGTAGAAATTCTTGTGGCATGTGAGTATCTAACCAGTCCTTTTCACACTCTCAGAGGGTCTCAGCATCTGCCTGTTCCTGCATTGGTATGAGACGGAAAAGCATTACCTTCCTTTCACTGCAGTATTGAACACATTTTGGAAGAACAGAGGCAGACATGTCCACATCAGCAGAAGGACCAGCGACCAGGTCCAGGACTAGGACCAGTGTCCCCAGTGACATCTTATTAATGACCTTGATGATGATGGGATGGAGTGCAACCTTGACAAGTTTGCAGATGATGAAGCACTGGGAGGAGTGGTTGATACACAAGGTGGTTGAGCTGCCTCTCAGAGCAACCTCAACAAGCTGGAGAAACGAGCCAACAGGAACCTCATGAAGTTCAACAGAGAGATGCAACCGGTGAGAGATAACTCCATGCGCCGGTGGACAAGAAGTTGACCAGGAGCCAGAAGTGCGCCCTTGTGGCAAAGAAGGCCAACAGCCTGCTGGGCCACGGACTGTTAAAGTTAGGTGAGGTAAAGCCTACTGTGGCTTCTAGCAAACCTGGGCAGAGCCAATGCAGTAATAGACTTGAGGAGAGGAGAAAAGTCCATGGGCTGACCAGCTGGAAAGCATCTTGGCAGAAAAGGACCTGATGGTCCTGTGGACAAGAAGTTGACCAGGAGCCAGAAGTGCGCCCTTGTGGCAAAGAAGGCCAACAGCCTGCTGGGCTGCGTTATGTAGAGCATTACCTGCAAGGTCAAGGGAAGCAATCCTTCCCCGCTAGTCAGCCCTGGTGAGACACATCTGGACTGCTGGTTCTGGGCTTCCCAGTTAGAGTGAGACATGGACATACTGGAGCAAGTCCAGAGAAGGGCCACTAAGATGAGGAAGGGACTGGAGCACGTGCCATACGAAGAGAGGCTGAGAGAGCTCTGATCATTTTTCTCAGAGAAGAGCGGGCTCGGGGGCTGTCTTGTCTAAGTGTATAAATACCTGACTGGAGATGGGTGGGGTAAAGAAGACAAGCCAGACTCTTCTCTGTGGAATCCAGTGACGGGGTGAGACACAATGGGCACAAATTGAAATACGGGAAATTAGAATGAAAGAAATGGCGGTGAAACACTGGAACAGGTTGCCCAGGGAGGTTGTGGAGTCTCTGTCCTCGGACAAGGTCAAAAGCCAAGAGGACACGGTCCCGAGCAACCCGCTCTAGGTGACTCTGCTTTGAGCAGGGGAGTTGGACAAATGACGTCCAGAGGTGCCTCCCAACCCCTCTGTGATTCTGTGACTAGGTGGGGCCTGACCTGAGGCCTGGAGAGCTCCATCGATGAAAGGGCTGGGAATAGCTCTTTTCTCTTTTAACCCTCCGATTCTCTCTCTCATCCCACTGTGGGGGGAGTGAGTGAGCGGCTGTGTGGTGCTCAGTTGAAGGCTGAGGTTAAACCGCAACAGCTCCATCGATGAAAGGGCTGGGAATAGCTTAAGGTGCTTTCCAAAGAGCTTCCCCAGTGTTGGCATCTTATGAGTCCATCCGTGGTGCTGCAGTGCTTGGAAAGATTGGGGGAGGGGGGAGGGGTCTGGGAAGCTACAGAGCAATAGGCGTGACATTTGTTGCAGGCAACTGAGCAGAAAATGCACTGAACCCTAAACTTAGTGGCTGTATGGATAAAGGTGGTATTTTTTGAACGCGTCAACGTGTCTTCTGTAAGGGAAGGTCAGCTGCCATCGAGCACAGGGACAAGGAGGAAGTCTATCCTAAAATGAGGGACACCTGAATTTGGCAAAAAGTCGTTCAATGAGGTATCCAGCATAAGAGGGAGTATTCCCAAATGGGTGAGTAAATTAATTGGTCGAAAGAGCGTGTGTTCAAAGGAGTATTCAGAACTTAAGTCTTGGGGTGAGAGGAGGCAGCTCTATGAAACTCTCAGCTCAGTTCTCGTGGCAGCCACGCAAGCAGCGTGAGCACTGGGAATTCTTAGCAAAGGAGTAGAAAACAAAACCACAACTGGTATCCTGAAGCAGTATAAATTTTAAAGTGTAGCGATAATGGGGTTTCCTTCTTCTTTTGTTTTTCATTTTGTTTCTTTTGCTGATTCATTTCTAATTAGATGAGTTCTTCACAGCCCAGCTGCATGACCGTTCTATCAGCCACCATATTAGCTGAACACATGATGTCACATCCTCCTTGATCTGCTTGTTTTCTCCGTGTGTTTAGACTCCACCTTTCACCTTTTTTCTTTCAGACAAAGGAAGTGCCAGACCATAGAGTTAGAGGCACTCTCAGAGACACTAACCTCTTGAAAAATCTTGTCCATCTGAGCAGTGACTTCTGTGGTGTCTTGAAAGCGGGGACAGGTAAGTAGTATTTGCAGTTTCTGTGAGTGGGACTTGCAGTTTCAGAGGAAGGCAGAGAGCCAGATTTCCTGGGTTTGTTTTGTGAAATAAATGGACTGGCTAATGCAGTGTCTAAAATGTCCTCTTATCCGCTACAAAAGCGGAAAGGTATTTCTGAATATATAGAAGTGTGACTGTAGTAGAAGTTCCTCCTCTTACTAAAAATAGGCATGTAGCCCTGAAGCTTGCTCACTGTTAGATTAGAGCCGCACTTTCCTGCCTTCTCTACTGCAAAGGCTCTGTCCCCTCCAGCCTGTCCTTGGTTTCTCTTCTACAGCTTACCAAGCTAAAAATGATTTACAGGATTCAACAGGCTGAGCTGCGGAGGGAGGGGGAAATAGGTATGTAAAAAGCAGAGAGGTGTTTTTTCGCTGCCTGTAACACCCACAGCACGTGCTGGCATTTCTCTGCAGGAGAAGAAAATGTTCTGGGTATCCAGAGCTGATGATTTGTGTATCAGCTGCCTCTCCTCTGTCCCCCAAGCCCCAGTGCCTAGAGGAGAGCGGTGGCTTTGTGCTGTTGCATTCGGAAACCTCCCAGTGCGGCTGACAAGTCATTTTCTGGCTACGTGGCAAGTTTAGTATGTGACCCAGGTGCAGTAAGCAGGGGTGAATGACAAATGGGATTGTGCAAGCTGGGTTCTCTGTCCTGTTCCCTGTCTGGTTACAGCCGTTTGATTAAAGCTTTTGCTGTTTCCTGAAGCTCTCTGTTCTGGAGCATGGGGATTTGGAGATGGAGCAGAGGGAGGCAGTAGAAATGCCACAATCCTCCTTGCTGCTTCCCCCTCAGTCATGCATTGACCTGAAGGCCCTGTGACAATAGAGAGAAGCCAGGAGACTGTTTCAGAAATGACCAAAAGGCATAATTTAAGCATGCTGCCCTGACGTGAAGGAAGGAGAGTTCTGTTCTGCCGTGGCACTGTCCCAAGGCTCGTGGTCTGCTGCCTTGCCTGTCAGTGTCTTTTTCTTCTTTCCTCCCCTTCAGATCACGACGGTTGTCTTGGGAGAGCAGGCTCTGATGGGAGCAAGACTGCCCAGGATGTCCAGCTGCCTGCCAAATCTGGCCACGGTGGTGCCGAGCCACGGGCTCAGGGCTCTGTTTATCCTCACCACTTCATTTGTGTTCTTTGCCGCTGTCACGTTCTACTGGAGAACTGGGGAGGACGCTGAGGGCCAGCTCTACAGCTTGCCTACACAAAGCAGGTGTGCTCAGTTTTTGCCTTCTCCTCCCAGTGCCGTTGCTGGTGGGCCCCCTCCCCCTCCAGGGGATGTGTTTTTTGTGGAGACCTCGGAGCGAACTAACCCAAGTTACCTGTTCACGTGCTCTGTGGAGTCAGCGGCCCGGATGCACCCCGGGACAAGGGTTGTGGTGCTCATGAAAGGCTTGGCGAACGGTAATGCCTCATTACCCAACCACTGGGCATTCTCGATGCTGAGCTGCTTCCCCAATGTGGAAATCCAGCCCCTGGACTTGCCGGAGCTTTTCTCAGGGACGCCTCTGGCAAAGTGGTACTTGCAGTCTGAGCACCAGAAGGAACCTTATTTCTTACCCGTCCTGTCTGATGCCTGCAGAATTGCCATCATGTGGAAATTTGGTGGCATCTACCTGGACACAGACTTCATAGTGCTTAGGAACTTGAAGAACCTCACCAATGCCCTCGGCATCGAGTGCAAGTATTTACTGAACGGGGCCTTTCTGTCCTTTAAGCCCAAACACAAGTTCATGGAGCTTTGCATGCAGGACTTTGTGGATAACTACAATGGCTTGATCTGGGGGCACCAGGGCCCACATCTCCTAACGCGTGTCTTCAAGAAGTGGTGCTCCATCAGTAATGTCCAGGACAACATGAGCTGCAAAGGGGTGCGTGCTCTTTCCCCAGAAGCCTTTTATCCTATCTGCTGGGAGAACTGGAACAAGTTATTTGACACAATCAGCTCCTTGGAGCTTCACAAGCTCCTTAAGAACACCTACGCGGTGCACGTATGGAACAAACTGAGCCACGGGACAAGGCTAGAGATCACGTCCCAGGCTTTGCTGGCTCAGCTGTATTCTCAGTTCTGCCCTGCCACATGTGCGAAGATGAAGAAGGACTCTGAAGAGCAGTCAAGGCCTGTAGTGTGACCTGTGGGCCCTTGGCTGCAGGGAAGTTCCGCAGCCTGAAGGAAACCGAGTGCCTTTCACCTTCCACGGAGCAAGTATTCTGTGTGACATTTCAGTGATTTTGTACCATTTCCAAGATCTGCCTCAGATCCTACGTGCTTCAAGTATACACTGGAACCTGAGTTTGGACTCTCTTGTTGTCCTTCAGTAGCCCTTGATGCTGCAGGGAAGGGTGAACGTGTTCATCGGTGCCTATCAGTTGCTCCTCTGTTGCTGTTCTCTCAATTGTATCAGGCCTGAAATGCCTCTCGTGTACTTTCAACAGCTGTAGGAACCCTTGGCTTGCTCTCTGTAACGTTTGCAAGTATGTAAATAAATGCCAGCCAGTGCTATAGGACACGGTTTAGAGGAGCTTAGGACCAAATTCCCCGGGTGGTAAAGATTCTTAGGGCTGGTGAAGTTTTGGGAGCGACTGCGAGTATATGAAGGTTGCTTTAAGAAACAGAAAACATTTTAAATCCCTGCTCGGCTCAGTGTAAAGTTTTTCTTGTTTTCCAAAGGTACTTTATTTCAAACGATCTTGTCTACTGTTTTACATTCCGCAGCGACAGGCTGACTTTTCTGGTCCTCTTCAGGAAAAGAAATAGCCAAAAGCAGTTCTTTTACCAGTGTGAGTAAAGATCCTTGCTTTGTTGTAGAAATTCTGGTGACGTGTGAGTATCTAACCAGTCCTTCTCACATTCTCAGAGGGTCTCAGTATCTGCCTCTTTCTGCATTGGTATGAGACGGAAAAGCATTACCTTCCTTTTACTGCAGTATTGAACACATTTTGGAGGAACAGGGGCAGAGGTGTCCAGGACTAGGACCAGTGTCCCCAGTGACATCTTGTTATTGCCACTGGAGTTCTAGTCCACGAATTATGCAGGGGCGTTCATCTAACCCTAATGCAGATTACACAAGCAGGTAAGTGACTGCAGGCATCATTGCCTGTAATGGGAACACAGGTGCCTATACCACGGACTGTTAAAGTTAGGTGGGGTAAAGCCTACTGTGGCTTCTAGCAAACCTGGGCAGAGCCAATGCAACCTGCTGTTGATCTGATGACCATTCTCACATCTGAATGTGTTTCCTGTGTGTCCAGGGCACTGTGATTGTAAAAATGCATTTGAAATTAACCTCTTATGAAATGAGGAGAGGAGAAAAAAGGTACTGTGGTTCTGCTGGTGCCAAATCAAAGTTGCTGTCTGGAAGGCAAAATGTAAGCAATATGGGGTTATTGCTCTTTCAAATATGCAGTAGCTAAGAAATAAGAGAAAGATGTGTATTGATTTTAATATAGCCTTTTCCTAAATTCCATTATCTGCTGAAAAGTACAGTGTTATCATGCACGAAGGAAGGCTGATGTAAGTTTAATCTGGCCTTTAATATGAGCAGCAGTATGTTTCAAGGTTTGTCAGACACTGAGTCATGGCACACTATTGATTAAACACTCCATTGCAGACCAAAAGAGAGTGAGTCATCAATTTTTACTCAAAATGAGTTGTATAAAACAACACATCAGCTTACTCTGCTGTCTGGTTCCATGTCCTCCCCCCCAGAAAAAAAAGAAATGTTGCCTGATCAATCTAACTGTGAGTCTTCACTACTGGTGCTGAGGAGTACCGGATATGCTGTTCCAATGTGGTGCCCATGGCGGCAAACAACCATCTGTTGCTCATATTCCTCAATCTTCACTGTTTCACGTGTGACTCTTTTCTTCAGCCAGCAGGAAAATGACGGTGTAAAGGGCAAATTCGAACTCCGGGCTGACACCAATAAAGGTGCTTCCAATTGGCTTGACCGAGCCCTTCCAGCTGAACTGGATGCTCAAAACTTGGTCATCTTTGTGAGGCTGAAAGCATAAACAAAACAACAGAATAATCTCCAACACAGCTGTGGCCAGACAGATACAATTTCCAACTCCAGATTTTTGAGGCCATTGCAAATTTCAGTCATCCTTGCTGTGTCAGGGTGCTATAGGTAGAGCACAGCCTTTTCCTGTCCTCTGGAGCATACATGATCATTTATCTCAATTAAGCTTCAGCAGTGTTGCGATTCTGTAAACACCGGCACTACTTTTTAAAATATCTTTTGCAAAAAAAGAAGCTGGACTTGAGGGCATGCTAGTATTTCTTCTGCTTATATACACCTGGGCAAATTAGGTTCAAAGCAGTTGAGCCTATGATTGCATCATTGTGTCTTGATTAATTACCACAGCTTTTATCTCTGGATCCATTTGTCTTTTTTGCAGAGGCACCCTGCTTGTTCTTACCCTGGTTTTGTTCTTCTGAGAGACATATCCCTTGTAGTCAATTTGGTTGCGCTTTTCCGAAGGTAAAATTGCACCCAGTTGTGCAAATCTAAGATCTGTTTACCACGCCTTGTTTCTCCAACAAAAACATGTTCAAAGCCACAAGAATCAGGTCTGTAATAAATCAAAGAATAATATATAGGTCTTTTATGTGTTTAAATAGTTCAAATTGGCAGAGGTAAAAGGCAAGAAATCCACAAGCTTGCTTAGGTTGATTTGTAAGCAGTTTTTTTATTTGTCTGGATTTGTTGGGTTTTCTTTCTTACTTTGCACAAAACTTGCAATGTAATCTAGCCACCAAGTCTAAATTTATATTTGATGATGAAGGTTGCTAGTAAATGCCACAGATGCATCACTGCTGCTTATCCAGATTTTAGCAAGACACTGTCTCCTGTAACAGCCTCATAGACAAACTGATGAAGTACAGATTAGAAAAGTGGATGATGTGGTGGGCTGAAAAGTGGATGAACATCTGCAGTTGAAGGCCTGTGATTAGGGACACAAAGTGCAGCTGGAGGCAGTTCACCAGTGGTGTACCCCAAGGGTCAATATTGTTAGTATCTGATCAGTAAGTCTTTAAACACGATCTGTGTGGGAGCAATGAACACCTGATTTAGGCCATATTCTGAGGCTGTCTTCCAGTTCTGTGTGTAACAGATGGCACTCGGACTTAGAGTTACCTGAGTCAGAATACTGTAGAGATTATCAGGGGCCATATCCATCAAACATACCTGTCTCCTTCTTTCCTGGCATAGAGCTGGAACCAGATGTCATAGAGCTGATATTTGAAATCGGCAAGGTTTGGCTTTGCCAGTGTTTTTTTAAGCAGATATTCATGAGCTAGCTGAAGGATAGAAAACCAAGATATATACACAGTTTACTTTTTAATTCAGTGTTTTCAGTGACTGAAAAAGATCTGCGTTACTCACTTTCATGACTTCTGTCGCTAAGATAGCATCAAGAAAACAATTGTTTTCAACTATTTCTTCTGGAGTCACTACTTCTGCCATACCGGTTGATGTCTCATAGTTATCCAATAAGGAAATAAAGGCTGCAGAAAAAGAGAAACACTCAGCACGCTCATCCTGATGAACAGGCCATATGCCTAATCATACCTGTGATCCAGTCATTAGAGACTGCCATCATAAAAAGATGCCATATAATATGCCTTGAAAGCCCTTAGAGAAAGACATTCCTTTATGTGTCAAATTTTATTCTCAGGTGCACTGTTGGGTGCACGTCTAGAGATGACTCAAGGCCAGACCACCACTGTACTTCTTTTTAAGATAAACAGCTCGCTCCTGAGCTTCCTTATGGAACCAAGTGTTGAAGCAATAATGACCTTCTACCAAAACACATCTCATCTGACCACCAAAATTACAGACATAGGCTTACGAACTTGAGCTATGCTGGCAGAAGGCTTTGTGGGCATTACTTCAGTAGAGGAATAATACAGCATAAACCTACATGAGATGGCTTGAACTTGAGCACGTGGCCACCGAGTGGATGGGTTAATTTTCTCCTTTGCACCCCTTTTGCGCCCTGCTCCCTCCTGTCACTTCATCTACTTGTGCTCTGACACTCAGTGGACTCTGGGGGCTGATTCAGCACACTAAGCTGATAGAAAAATACTTGAGGTCAAAAACCTAAGTCATTTCCTGCCAGGTTAGTGAGCTGAAGGGACTCAGCGTAGGGCTCAGTGAGTACCAGAGCTGCCCTAGACACAGGATTGTGTGGCTCGGAGAGGAGTGGGGTGAGCAGAGTGCTCCCCATTATGCCAGCTGTTCAATCAGCTTAATGTAACTCTATCCAGGGAAAAGAAAAATCAGGGAAGGAAACATACATTCATAGACATGCTTGAAGTGTAGCCCCCAACAGAAATGCAAGAAGTAGCTGTGGACCTAGTGCTATCTGAAAGGGCTAGAAGTTGCGAGCAAAGGAGGAGAGATGACTTTGGCGTCTTTTTCAATACATGGAGTAACATCAAAGCAATAACAAGAGTCTCATCCATTTCACTTTGTAGTGGAAGAACCACAGAAAAATTCAAATTTTGGCTAAGGCACAAAAGGATGTTATTCCTGAGGCTGAGGCTACAGGTAACCTCTATGCAAATGTTGTGGAAACTACCTTCAAATGACATGCAGCCTGATGATCCTCACCACCATCCAAATTCTATATGATGTTATATTTTAGGCAAACACATAAAAACCAACACGGATTCTTCATGTCATTTCCACCATTAACAAAAGAACGGGTCTCACTTGCAAAAGTTTTTATGCTCTTCAGGCGTTCTTCATTTACGTTGTGAAACAGATGTCTGGCTGCACTGTCCTGGACAGCACTGTCACCTTGCTGTGCGACATCTGCTTTTCCCCAGGAGAAACACCGGAGTAAAACAATGAAAGAAGTAAGATGTCCTTAGAGGAGACAGTGCCTGCCTTTATAATAATCAAAACAAAACTCATAATGCTATCAGGTTTGTTTGTTAGGAATGGTCTTCCTATGAAACAAGGTAAGACATTACAGAAAAACTGCCAGCATAAAGAAAAAAGACATAATCTCTGACATTGTAAGAGCCTGGAATTTCCCTGTTGACTCATTTTCAGAGGTGGTTGTGATGACCCATGTGATAGCTCAGTTCTGATCAGTAACCAGCTGTGCTACTATGCTATATACATCACATGATAAAAAGAAGTAATGTAGAGCCAAGGCTCCCTCCCACCACAAATAAATAAAAAAGAGATTTGTGCACCTTCCTTCTCTGTTAATTTGTAACCCACAGACCCACTGCATATAGTTTATGAGGCCATGCAGTGCAGCAGAGGGGTTGTTTCTCTCCTGAGTCATCGAATCATAAAATCATAGAATAGTTTGGGTTGGAAGGGACCTTTAAAGGTCATCTAGTCCAACCCCCCTGCCGTGGGCAGGGCCCAAGCTAGCCAGTCTAATTCTCCTCTCCTCTGTGATAATGCTTAAGCAATCCAACTCCTGAGTAGGCTCTCTCAGTCTCAGCCTTTGTTTTCTCCTTCTGACTTCATGACCGCAGCCCCAGCCATCACCCCAGTGCCAGGGAGATGCCGAGATAGTTCTGTGCAGCTCCACCAGCTTTGGACTGGTGCATCCTGGTGCTCTGAAGTTTTCAAAGATTTCTGGTTGGCCACATTTAAGGGCATTTTAATCAATGTTACCAATAAGCACATCCAAAACAGAAAGGAGGCTTTCCTGACAATTTTCAAGTTTCTGTTCCAAAAAGGGCATTCTCAAGGAAAGAGGAGAAAAGATGAGGAGCGGTTTGTTAACATGGGCAAGGGGTAACTAGAGCCTTGTTCTAAGAGATGGAGAAACCATAAGGGAGAAGTTTTCCCCACACACGTTTTGGCCTGAGGTAGGTACCTCTTTTTCAAGTTTATCAGCAACAGAAAATTATATCTCATAATATGAAGCAACATTGAAATAAAGTGTTTGAGCACTTGTGTGAGTACAAAATTGGATACTGAATATTCAGTGGCCTGGTGCAATTCGTGGCCAAAACACTTGGTCATGTTTGCACTACACTGAGCTGGCAAGGAGTGAAATGGCTGCTCATCAAATCTGATAGCCACTCCTCCCTCACAGTTCCCTGGGACTGGTAGCAACAACCCTGAAACCCTCCTCACCCACACCTCTGTGCTACTCCACACTCTCCAGACGAGACCCAGGAATTCCTTCCTTATTCCCCCAAGAATGACTTGGGACCTATCTCCTCTTCTTCCTCGCTGCAAGTCACCCAGACCATACACACAAGCAGTCATACACACACGGAAACATGCAGTGTGGAGGGGACCTCAGGACATCTCTAGTCCTGCTCAAAGTATGGTCAACACTGAATTCAGACCATATTGCTCAGGGTGTCATCTTGTTGGGTCTTGAAAACCTCCGGAGGCGGAGTTTTCACAGCTTCTCTGGGCATCCTGTTCTGGTTGCATTTGTCCCTGTTGAATTCCATGATATTCCTTCCTTAGCCTATTTCTCCAGCCTGCCTAGGTGCAGCTGAAGAGAAGCCCTGCGCTTGAGCATACCAACTTCATCACCACAGGATGCTGTCATCTGCAAAATTGGAAAGGTGGCACTCCATCCCCTCCTCCAGGCCACTGATAAAGATATTAACTGTTATAGGACCCAAGACAGACACCTGAGAGACTCCACTTGTAACCAACGTGCAGGTAGTGTGGACCATTAATGTGTTCTCTGTGCTGTTCCCTCTCCTAAGTGATTCTTCATCATTAGGAAGTCCTGCCTATGCCGTTAGTGGAAATGACGAAGCATAGGCAACACTTTCAGCAAAAGGCAGTTTTGCAGACACCTTTTCCTACAGTATTGTACTGCCCTTAATCCTCATGTGACTTAGCAATTGGTTACCTGCAAATCAATTGTGTAGTCTTTCCCAGGCACAAGGCGGTTAACATCCATATCCCACATGTCACTGAAAAGTTTAGAAAGTTCATGATTTAAGGCTTTCCTGTCAAGAAATCCAGAGAAATATGCACGTTAAAAAGACACATGCTGTTATTTCTGCAAGTCACTTTTAGAGTTCTAATGCCACTCTATGTTCTGGATACTAGCTTGTCATCAGGAGAGCTTTCGCTTCTCCCCACACCTTCCTGCCAGTGCTGCTCTAAAAACCATAAAGCTTATGGTTCATGTTCAGATCTAAAGAGTGCAGGTAACCTGTAAGGAAACTTGAGCCTTCCCTAAGGTTATTTTAGAGAATATTTTAACAAAGTTCTTGTTAATAAGCCTTCCTGCGGTTTTCCATGCACTGAAATAAAAATTAAGACGGTGGTGTTTCATTCAGGAGGATTCTATGTACAAACCCGAGGCAAGCAGGAGATTGTTATCAGTGTGCAGCAACACTACACAACAAAACAGGAAGCAAAGAATTCTCTCTATGATGCTGTTCTAGCAGCAAGCTTATATACAACTTTTCCTACCTTTTTTCTGCAAGACTCCACACTAGAGATGCTTTCCTTCGCCCATTCGCATGGTTATCCTAGCATAAAGTTAGCGTGCTGAAGGATGACCAAGACTCTAAACACAGGGTCTGCATACAATAAAATTCTCTCATGCACTGATCTCTCATGCCCATACAAACCTATCCATCCACCTGTCAACAAGATTCAGGAAGGGTTGTTAATGTGATGAACTGCCCAAAGGTAGCTCCAGTTTCAAGGGCATTATGTCCACACTAACACGTAAGATCAAGAGAAAGAACAGAGTGGAGAAGAGAAGTGGATTAATCTTTAAATGACTGACAGTTGAATTAATCAGTTACAAACCAGCACATGCATTGAAGCCCAGAGAAGAACTGCTTGATAATTCTGAATTTCTCCTCCAAAGCAGATGTTCTCAAGAAAAGAAAAAAGTGCGGAAATTTGTCAACAATGGGCATTTCTTTCAAATAAGTCATTTGGACAACTCGCCATGATTTTAACAACTGGTTCTCCCAGACTGAACCAAGGCACCTTCAAGCCCAACTCTGAACTTCCTTACTGATTACTGTTACGTCTTCTCCTTCTATTCTGGCCAGCGGCAAATTCCATGCTCTCTAGCAGAAAGAGCAAACAAATACTGTGGTAAGGTCACAAACAGTCTTCTGATGGGGCAGCCTTGACGTGAGGCAGCTTGAGAGCCAGGAAGAGCAAAAAGTGAGCCAGGTGGGCACCTGCCCCATTGTTGGCAGGGAGGGAACAGAAGTCATAGCAGAAAAGAGGGCATTAATCAAACGGTGGGAAATTAGGCTAGAAGCAGCACAGCAAGATTTTATGTGCCTTCTCCTGTCCCGGACTGCCCTTCATGGCTGGCTCAGAAACTGCTGGTCTAAGCTCCATAGTGAAGGAAACAGAAAGTAGCAAACTCTGCCTGGAGAACTGGGACTTTTTTTGCCACATTATTGAGCAATCCTTTTTCTCCAGAATTGTCTCTATAACTGTGGGATGGAGCTTATACAGCCTAAGATTAAAATCCTGAAAAGCATAAGCAATCTGCGCTTAACTCCTTGAGAGCTTGTTGCCCAAAGGAATTCATATCCCTGAGTTAAGACCCAAAAGCAGCCAGTTTACATTAATGCACCAGAGGATAAGCTGCAGCAGCTGAGGAGCATAAAGAACATATATGATATTCATATTATACTCAGCATTATTTAGAGTGGGGAAAGCAACCTGCTACAGAAGGGCAGGGCAGACAACTGTAACTACTTTGGCTGCCACCACCTCAGTCTGCCTGCAGCTGGAAATCTGAGCCAACACGTACCTCAGCTACGCTAGAGGCACTGACAGTCCGTTTTCACTCAGGCTCTGTGATACTTTGAGATTGTTGTTGATGGGAAATCTACAGGATCATTTGAATTTTGAACTGGGCTTGAATAGGTGTCAATACCTGAAGGAAGGAAAAGGACTAAAAATTCTAGTATATGGGAGCCAAAGGATATGTTGGTTGCTAGGGTTAAACATGAATATGAAGGAAGATTTTTGCTTGGAACAAGTACTTGCATGGATCTTACGGTGGAGCAGAAGGAGGCTGTCAGCCCTTGCCCAAACCCCAGGCTGCTCTTATACAGCAGAAGCGTGGCTTGTGGCATCACATTATCAATACTGGCTGCGCAGCCCAAATGAGACACCTGCTCAACTTCACCGGGAGTTAGCCTCGCGGCATATCACAGAAGCAACCAACAGCAGCATTTTTAATTATTTTCAGCTGTACCTCCACATTCTTTCCAGAGTCTTACGAAGAGCAATTCCTTCTCAAAAGAGCTTACAAACCAACACTAAACAGAAAATTGTTCATCTCACCAGCTCAGCTGAAGTCCCAAGAACAGGATCGGCAAATTCACAGAACAGTACCAGAGATGGTTTTCAAACTTCAAGTGCCATCTACATTCATGTTACCTTGGACTGACCTAATTTTATTGGATCACTTTTCTCCTGGGTTCTGGACCCTCCTGCTGTCTACTCCTCTGTATCTGTTAGAGTACCACCCTATTATGTTTAATACAGTTTTTACTTTGGAAGTAACTACCAGTGGTGGATAGAAGTCTGCTGTCTGTTGAACATCCAAGGTATGTGAAATATTAGGGGGGATGTCAGGGTTTGGGTTTTTTTAATATTTTGTTCCATATATATATAGTATTTTATATACATATATTTTAGTATGTATGTATTTTGGTAAAAGTCACTTATACAGGAAATCTGTCATCCCTTCAATACCTACTGCTTGTTCTTGGTCTGCTCTTGGCAGATTTGTCCTGTGTTTAAAAAGGACTGTAGGGCTCTGTTTGATCCTTCCTCCTCTAGAAATGTTACGGGATATTGCATGAACTCATGGAGGCAAGCTCAAGGTGTCTACTCAGGAGAGGGTTACAGCAGGAGCATACCTACAGATTTCAATCCTCATATTTATTTAATAAATATACTTCTACTAAATGTATTCCTGCACTCAGAAAATGTGTCCCAAAACTCTACAGTCACTTAATTTTATAAAATAAAAGCCTTTTCTCTCCTTTTTCTCTGCTGGGTGCTACCACAATATCATCATGGACTTTTCCTCTCCTTTTTGTTGTCCCTTTAGTGTCCAAACAGAGCAGACCACCTGTACACATTGTAACTGAAGATTAGAATAAAGAAAAATATATCCCTGCCAAAGCAAAGCACTTGTTTAGCAACTTACATAGTCATCTTGTAAAAACACTTTCTGGACAGTATTTCTTTAAATAAGGTCCATAAACTTAGCTTACACATATGAGGTGAGACAACTTCAAAGAGAAGAAGCCCGACACCTTCATGCAAATCCATGACACACAGCATTTAGGTAAGGTTTCCCTGAGAAAGAGTATTGTGTATGTACTCTCTGGTTTTCAATATGATTGCATGTATGACTCAAACCAGAGATTTTTATCATTAATTCTCAATCCCCTCCCTATGGTGAAATCTCTCAGTTGTTAGATTTGTCCTTTCACATAGAATAAATTATTTCTGTGCAAGAAGTCTGGCCAATTGGATTTTGTCCAGTTGGAGTCCTGCTTGGATGTGCTTACGTGTGCAGAGCACCACCCCCACAACAAGAACACTCGTAAGAGCTGAGAAAACTTTTGGGGGAGCCTCTTTGCAATAGAAACTCTAATGCACCAGCAGTGCAGCTAGGGCAAAATAATCTAACATCTCCATTTTATTATAGCTTTCAAGTGAAACATTCACATGGTGTGCCTGTTTTTCCAAATTACTTTTTTGTATGAAACCTTCATTCTATCCAAAACAATGCCCCAAGAAGAAGTCCTTTATTGCTATAAATCAGACATGACTCAAGACATGAAGAGAATTAAAGAGTCAATGGTGAATCATGTGAGCACGTCAACAGTGTCAAAGCAAGAAAAACATGTATTGCAAATGGGTCACATGGATCCCTGCAAAGAAGGTCTGACTGAACATCTGAACATCTTCTCTGAAGTAAATTTACCTTCAGAGATCCTTTGAACAACATCCAGTTTTTAAAAAGCCTTTAATCTTGGCATAGAGAAGAAAGCATTTGGAAATGGCTGATGAGCAGCCATTTACAAGGAGTTTCCAATCATTTAAAAAAGTTGGTTCAAATGTTGCAAAATCCATGCATCAGCTTATATGGTTAATAGAAGATACAAACAATTCTCTTGATTTTCCCTTTACACCAGTGTGTATGCCTTTTACTTGATTCCAGTGATGTTTTTCTTAGTTTAAAGTTGGTATTTCAAATACCAAAGGATAAATAAGGCAGGTTTTGTAGGTGGAAAAGAAAATGCATTGTCAAGGGACAAACATAAGAGTGGGCAGTTAGTCAGCAAACACTCTATCAAGGTTCTGGGCAGGCAGGTGACATATGGAGAACCGATTCTACATTATCAGCTATGTTTAAGCAAAAACTGATCTTAGCATCATCTTATTTTAGCTAAAAGAGCTGATGATTCAGTTGTCTCACCAACTTTTTACACTGACGAGTTAGTAAAACAGAATAGAAGCAGCAAGCAGGGTTATTGCAGTACTGCATTTCACATAACTCCCTTTTACACGTCTCCCAGATGAATATATCCCATCCCCACTGCCCTTCGTGTTAGGGAAGAATTAGTGTGATTTTCCCTTACCCATCAGCCGTGCCAGGAAGAAGTTTTTCTGCAATACACCGAGCAGGGAAAATGCAACCTGAAGCTCAGAAATCCTTCTGGTAGTCCAAGGCATGGAGCTCCCTCCCTCTTATGCTCCGCTTACCCGCTGAGGACTGTCACTCAGACTGACGGGAAGGCAAGGGAGAGGCAGGAAGTGCCAAACCCCACAAGAAGATGTGGAGCGTAAGGACAGTGCCACGTCTCATGCCTCTCTCGGCGCAGGCACGCTCAGACCAGGAAGTCAGAGCCACCTCTACCGGGCTCCTGCTTCGCCTCATCGCCGTAGACAATCGGTATGGCAGGAAACACAGAAGGTGATGCCTGAGAGAGGCGTGGCGACGCCGCCTTCTCCCACCTGGGTTTTCAGATATGAATCTTGTATGAACTGCAGACATGAGTCACAGCATTGCTTCTGGAGTTATGTTGCATTATTTGTTAACAGGTTTTAGATCTCTGCGTGAATTTTGGGCCCAGAAATAAGCCCTTCAAGTCTGAAAGCCTTGACTGAGGTGGATGGGCCAGTCTAGTCTTGCTGTTCTATATACCGTTATTATTTGACAATACAAGGGAAGATGATAATAAATCAGGGATCAAAAAAATTATAGGTGGGGAAGAAAAATAAAAAAATGTGTGCTTCTCTATTTACAGCTGAAATTGCTAGTTGTGACTTTGTAAATATTAGGAGGCATTATAACCAGGAAATGTTTTACAAAGGCAGCACTTTGCAGGCATCACTGGAAGCAAGTGGTGGCAGGTGCCAGAAAGTGAAGGTACCCCTTCTAGTGCCTGTCCTGGGAAGCATGCGTTCATTATGTGGCTAAATTAACCTTCAGGTGGTTTAAAGCTTATTTTTGTTTGACTGGTACTTTTAAATTTTTCTTCTTCATAATAATTAATTCCTGAAAAACATAGCTTTAGGTTTAAACTGTATGTATGTATATACAGAAGCCAAAATGGTTTGATGTTAGGCTACCAGTTATACAAATGGTTCTGCACCTCTCGTCCAGGTACCCCTGCAAAGAATCGTATTAGAGCCAAACAAAGCTGCAGGTAATGAGGATGCCTGCCACATGGGATTGCATAGGGGGCAAGACATGCAGCTAGCTCACTTAAAAGTGAAGCTTCTTTCTGACGCTGGTAGGGGAAACTAATGTACCTCAAAATTGAATATCCTGAATTTTAACCCAAATTTTTCTTTACTATTTTTTGGTACTATTTATCGCTGTTCTGGGTAAGCAAGATAAATGACAAAAATACAGTGCCTGTGTTTATCAACTGAATGCAGGAAGTCTTTTCCTAGGCTTTCATTTAAAATACAAAAGCCAGCGGGCATATTCTGTCCACAACAAAGTTGCAACTCCTTTATTCACATTAGCAGAAAAAGCCCAGATGGGGGCCCAGGGAATTTCCATTTACAAGCAGCAGCATCACTGGAGTCAGCGGATTTAAGTTAATCTTTGATAAAATTACAGGTCAGATCAGTAGCATCGCTAGCGATTTCATAACAAAATGTGTACTTAAATCTGTTGCAAAACTTCTGTCCTATGATTTAGCTGTTGAGCTAAAAAAACCTTAAGGATCCCAAAGAGTGTAAAAGGGTGTGTTTGCCAACAGAAATGAAGTACTGACCAAAGGCAAATGAGATCAGCGCAGAATCTGGGTCGTTCCCGTATCTAATGCAGGCAGCAAGAGAATCCGAGTGTCCAGAGAGTGACCTTGCTAACACCATGGGCTGGCTTTCTCTACTGAAGAGACCAGGCAATGCTTTGTCAAACCCATTGCACAGGGCAGTGTACGTTCGTTGCGCTGAGGTTAGGGTCCCCCTGCTCTCTGTTCCTCTTTTCTGGCACAAGAGAACGGGGAGAGTATTTGGCGCTGTCTCACTCACATAGAATCATAGAATCATAGAATCATTAAGGTTGGAAGAGACCTCCAAGATCATCGAGTCCAACCATCAACCCAACACCACCATGCCCACTAAACCATGTCCCTAAGCGCCTCATCTACCCGTCTTTTAAATACTTCCAGGGATGGTGACTCAACCACTTCCCTGGGCAGCCTGTTCCAATGTTTAACTACTCTTTCAGTAAAGAAATTTTTCCTCATGTCCAATCTAATCCTCCCCTGGCGCAACTTGAGGCCATTTCCTCTCGTCCTTTCGCCAGTTACTTGGGAGAAGAGACCAACACCCACCTCGCTACAACCTCCTTTCAGGTAGTTGTAGAGAGCGATGAGGTCTCCCCTCAGCCTCCTTTTCTCCAGGCTAAACAACCCCAGCTCCCTCAGCCGCTCCTCATAAGACTTGTTCTCCAGACCCCTCACCAGCCTCGTTGCCCTTCTCTGGACACGCTCCAACACCTCAACGTCCTTCTTGTAGTGAGGGGCCCAAAACTGAACACAGTATTTGAGGTGCGGCCTCACCAGTGCCGAGTGCAGGGGCACGATCACTTCCCTACTCCTGCTGGCCACACTATTTCTGATACAGGCCAGGATGCCATTGGCCTTCTTGGCCGCCTGGGCACACTGCCGGCTCATGTTCAGCCGGCTGTCAACCAGCACCCCCAGGTCCTTTTCCGCCAGGCAGCTTTCCAGCCACTCTTCCCCAAGAGCACATGTGAACAGCATTTGCAAAGGAATGGGGCAATAGACTTGCGGAAGATGCTCTGCCTAACAAAACTGCCACTTCAAGCATTGGATGCTGACCTTTGCCAAGGTCACAAGGAAACCCTGTGAATAAGACCTGTTTCTAAAGCATGTAGGCATCTCTGTGTGTTTCTGACCTAAGTATTTTGCTCTTCTAACCAAGGATGGCCAACAGATAAGTGCTGGTTTGTCGCCTCTAGTCACGTGCCTAAACTTCCCTGAAGAGGGAAAATGGTCATTCCGAGTTAGTTTAAACTGCTTTGGTGGATCTAGAGAGGGTGAGCGAGAACACTGTGCTTTACAGGCTTCCAGACCAAAGCAGCCACGGCTCACACATGCATGAAGGACACATTTGCGCTGGACAGGCTCACTCAGGGAGACCGAGTAAAAGCTGGCAGCTAGAACAAACACCATGCAGATCTACAGCAGGCTCAGTCCTTTCCCTGGGGAAGCCAGAGCAGGCCTTCGGGTCACCTTTTGCGCGTGGATATAGGGAAGAGGAAAGTTTCTGAGAAACTGAGTTTGCTGGACATTCCCATGGGAGCTTTGGCTATTGCCGCCAAGTCTCCACAAGCTGACCAACACTGAAAAGCAGTGGAGATAGGGCCTGGGCTGGTCAGTGGGAACGTAGCCACCTCAGAGCTCACTGAGAGCAAGGAGCAGGGACTCTGAGGTCTCCACCCTTCCCTAAGCATTCATTCTCAAGCTGGAGCCTCACCTGACAGATTGTCTCCCACCAAGCTCCATGGTCCCTGTGCCCAGCCTGTCTCTTAGTTATCTCCCCAGTTTCCTAAGCCTCAGCCTCTCAATTCTGAAGTCCTTCTCTCTAGCCGATGGTGTTATAATCCCTCCACTTACTTGGGAGTTTCTGGTGCAGCAGCTGTCCTCGAAGAGAAAAGTAAGAGGATTACACAGCCAGGCATGTTTTTGTCATAGAAATGCCAGGAATAAGTAACTCCATTCCTGCAGCTAAATGTCTTTACCTAGACTGTGCAGTGACGTGACCTGCTTACCTTTAGGTTGGTCTGTTAACTTGCCTTTATTTACCACTGCTAATTCCCAGGTTTAACAGGTGAACCATGGCCGACTTACGAATGTTCTCACAGCAGATGAGCTGCCTGCACAGTCAGCAAACCCAGAGGCTGGGAGAAAGCAAGTGCTTGGGGACGCAGGTGGCTCAGTACCCCTGTGTGAGCTGAGAGGCTAAGGGAGGACATTTTTTATTGTTTTTTTAATCTTAATATTAGGACTGTCAAGCATACACCTTTCTTGATTTTGTAAGGAGAAACTGTGTCTAGGAACCATCGAGGCCTGCCTACTGCAAGTTAAGACGTATTAATTAAAGAGCTTTGAAGCGTTTGAACATTAGCACAGACACAAAGATGCATTTGCTTATTAGTCATTAATTTGTACACATTGGTGTAAACAAAAATTTTAGGCAGTGTGGCTGAAACATCCTTTGTTGTTGCACAGCTCAGTTCTTGTGCTTTTTGGATAAACATCGCCATTAATGAATCAGGTCGGCCATCACCGACCTAGATGAGGCGGAGGAGTAGAATCACAGCTGGATTCGGAAGTGCCAGCGCAGGGCATCCTGGCACCCGGGCACCCTTCTCCTTACTCCAGCTCGTGTGCAGGTGCTGGCTCTGAAGCAGTACAAGCGGGGGAAGTTTAGAGACGTTTATTTGCTATAGGAATGAATTACGGTGTTGACATCCGTAAGTTATCCTCTTACCTCGAAAAGATAGCGGGGCTTCAATTGCTGGTTAGAAAAGGAAGATACTGTAACTTTATTAGCCTTGCTTTCCCCCCAGCATTATTCACGCAGGCAGTACAGGGGAAAAGGGCGTTATGGATGCGCTATGATAATACCGTACGGGCAGGCTCCCGGAAGCGGCGGCACTAATAAAAATCACGCTTGTGCGTGTTCCGTGTTGGCGAGGAGAGGCACGGAAGGTAAACACGCAAGGGAGGGCAGCGAAAGCAGGACCGTCACGCTTTCCTTTCCTGTGTGAGTTCCACGCCTCCCGCCGCGCTTTGTGCC